CTATAATTTGACGCTTTGCGAATTAAGTTTGTGAGCCCTTGTTGTGCGTCTGTTCGAATTGTGCTCTTCGTCTCACTGCCCCAATTCGTCAAACATCATGGTCGATTTTCCATTGTCCGATCAAATCCACTTAGCTGAGCTATCTAGTGATATCACTCGTTTCGGAATAGATCACACACAGACACACACACACACACACACTGAACCGCTTTACTCATTCGATTGAAATAATTGGGAATACGCGGGCGTTCAAAGTGATTTAGTTTCTTCCGTCGAGTTGGAACTCCGAAAGCGCTAAACACGTTCGAAAGAGTTCTCGTTGGGATTTCTGGTTTAATAACGAACATTAAATTTATGTTTTCGTACTGCTTATATCTATCAAAGCCACCATGCATTCACCCTTGTATTAATACACACGTCTACGGTCAATAAAGCCGACCGGGATTCGAAACATGAATTCCATGATTGATCTGTAGGCTTCCGTGAGTGTCACTGAGACAAACTTGTGGATAACGGAGACATCTAGCCTCGTCTGCACGTAGTTCGTCAGCCTTTCCATTCAAAACATCGGGAAAATGAGCAATCCTACTATCTCGAAAAGTCCCCATCTTGCGTTCTTCAAATCTGGGAGTAGGTGCTTCACTGATTGTGGGAAAGACGTCTCAGTTGATAGAGGGTGCGCGTGAAATGCACTCACTGATCATCGATGGTCTGTATCAATTATTATGTGTGCAAACTTCCCACAACTTACTCCATTTTCCACTTACGGCGGACTCTTACACGAACAGCACCTGCACGAGCATCGACTGGAGAGGATCCATTTGATCTGCTTCACAGTCAATTTTCCACACAACATCAGTTCACTTTTGATCGATGGATCTTAAATTGTTTCAGTGTATTCAACAGTTCTGCCACTTAATTTCATCTCAACTGTGTCCATGCTCGACTCTAAATCTATGTCTCGATCAAAACTGCCGGTCTCTGTAACAACTCAACAAACTCCGTATGTACCACCACATCACTATCTACACGTTGGGTGCCTCTATCCGTATCAAATCCGACGACGGTCTGAGACGCCCATGCATACTACAAATGCCGGTAAGTTTGTTTGCATCAGTATCCTGGATCTCTCGACGCAACTCTCTCTCTCACACACACACTATCATCGACAACGCGATACATCTTCAGGTGATATGCGGAAACCGAAACGTGCATAGATGCCGGCATTCGGGCCTTGCCCACTCCTTTCGAGGCAAAACTCGATCTCTATATAGAAACATTATGGTACCTTTAGTTGACATCTTGGTACCAGCCAATCTGTGTCATATCTGCTCTTGTGATCTATGCTCACCATTCCAATAGAATTGTGTATCATCCATTCCATATCAGTCCCCACGTAGAATTGTTTGTCACTGACCTATTCATTGCACGTTGAAATCTGTTCTGGCATTTCTAACAACCAGTTTCACATCTCGACTGAGTGACTATAACTATGACTATTGGTTTGCTCCGTCAAATACGATTCTTCGTTTCTTGTTCACCATTCTTTTCAATTGACGGAACATTGGGGGTGACCTGAGGTAACATTCCTTTCAATTTTACCATACTGTAGTGATTGTAGTAGTAGTAGTAGTAGTAGTGCGCACGGGATTCGGAACACGAACCACGCAATAGGAATCACAGGACACAAAGCTAGGATCAGCTATCACGGACTGGATTACAGAAGTACCCAGACCGCAAACGCACGAGTTCGCAATATCCCACGTGAACGAGACGCAAGGAAATGGCCACGAGATTGGAAACTCGTAGTTCGTTTATTGGAATAAATAAAAGCAATTAAATAATATGCACAACAGAAGATCGTTGGTTATCTAGGCTTCTATCAATCAATCATATTGCAGTATTGCTTGGATACTTCTGCTTCTGTCTGCACTGTCTCGGATTGGCTGGCACAACCTGCCTATGGTGTGTAGCCAGAAGACGTACGCGTGTCACTGACGTCACCTTTCGAATTTGATTGATCGCATGTGTTCGAAAAAGGTGACGCGCCGCTCCAGGGTGGGCGTCATCTCGTAGGCCTGAATCACCAAACATACGTCCTGGTCTCTGAGCTGGATTGCTTTTTGTGTGAAGTATTTTATAAGTTGAATGTAATTTGGATTGCATCATGAAACATGAACACAGTTTACAAACGGTTGAAAAGTATAGATCATCGGAATACATGTGGTTCTATGGCTATCCTGTCCATTCCGCAGTGCAATAAACCGCTCATAAGCGATTCGTTCAAAGTTCATGATAGCGTTCAGCATTTGCGAGATTCAAGTTTTTAAAAGTACTTGTTATTGGGAAGTTTTCGGTCGGGCTCAGTGCTATCCTCACACATGACAAATATTAAACCCCTGACGCGGGTGTCCATCATTTAGTTTTCCGATATTCAGAACTGAATGGATTTGAGGATATCGTTCGAGTCATATGACACATAGATTTAGAACTGTACTCCTTTACTTTCGACCGCTTGGGATGCTCATTTATACCACAACTGCCGGTTAGTTTATTTGTATTATTTCTGTCAGAATTAGAACTCTGGACGGAAAACAAATGGTATTGAAAATGCATAATTATTCCATAAAGGGTGTTCAATATTTTTTCCATCCTGCTTCTTTCACAGCAAATTACGATGAAGATAGTTTTCTTCCACCTTCAGAATGACAACCGTTGAAATATTTTACCACTGTTTTAAAATCATGCATTGTTCTCGGTTTCCAGGATTAAACGGTTCGCTTCAGATATTTTCGTCATTAATCCCGAGCGGCGACTGGAATTTTGCACATGTTATTTGACATACTTGGATACCAAGAGGAGTTTTACGTGGGCCTGTATTAGTGGATATTGTAGTCCGATTCTCCTATGGTTATTCTCTACCAACGCTTGAGCAGCATCGGATTCCGAATTTAATCTCGCCTTATGTGGTCCCAAATGCCACACGAGATCGGTGAATTATGGTCCATCGACCTCATGGGTCCATTTCCGATGTCCCCTAGAGGACACCAATATATCGTTGTAATGACGGAACACTTCACGCATTGGATTGAAGCCGTAGGAGTCGCGGATCAAAAAGCCGCTACGATAAGCAGAATTGTGATGGAGCATATTGTGGCGAATCATGGTGTACCACAAGCCATCCTG